GTTCCATCCACCTCTCCCTGGGAAGGTGAGAGGGTGACAGTTCCTTCCCACCCTTGCCTGGGAAGGGGAGGGCGGTGGCTCCATCTTGCCTTTCCCTGGAAAAGGGGAGGATGGTGTTTCCATGCCACCTTTGCCTGGGAAGGGGCAGGGAGATGGCTCCATCCCATAGAACCTTTCCTGGAATAGGGGAGGATGGTGTTTCCATGCCACCTTTGCCTGGGAAGGGGCAGGGAGATGGCTCCATCCCATAGAACCTTTCCTGGAATAGGGGAGGATGGTGTTTCCATGCCACCTTTGCCTGGGAAGGGGCAGGGAGATGGCTCCATCCCATAGAACCTTTCCTGGAATAGGGGAGACTCCATCCCACCCTTCCCCATGGACATCGAGGACAGGCCATATGCCTTTGCCCCTCTGCAGAGCTGTGGCTGCCCCTGCTGTGTGCTCAGCGTGCACAGGGCGAGGGGAGGAGTCCCCGAGACCTTCATCAGCCAGGAAACAGCTGTTTTGCTTTCATTTTGCCTCTGTCACTAGGGACACGTTGACTTTGCTGAGCTCCTGCACGTGCTGGGAGCTGATCCCAAAGCCTGTGCAGCTGGGAGGACTTTTCTGGCTTGGTGGCTGCACACACCTTTGTTCTGCCCTTGGGCAGCTCTGCTGGGCCATGCTGGTGTCCTTCGGGAATGGGATATGGGAATGCTAACAGCTTTTCCCCTTCCTAGAGGGGCTGAAAGCTGGGAGGCCTCTTTTCTCCCCCTTTGGAGCTTGCTGAGCTGTAGGCCTGCACTCCTTAAAGGGGGATCATCTGGGATAGATGAAACAAAGAGAAGAGTGGATGGCACAAAAATAGTTGGAAAACGTGGTCTTTGCTCCATGGGAACAATGTTTTATTCTTAAAATATATGCAGGGAAGTCTGTGTGGGCCAGAATGATCTGTAGCCCAGTGGTTTGGGGCTCATTGTGGAGGCAGGAGATGGTGGGGGAAGCTCTGCTCTGTGAGATATTCAGGTCAGGAGATAAACCTCATGGATTTACCCCAAGTGTTGAGTCAAAATGGGTGTTTGGATGTTTCTCAGTGCTGCTCAGTACTTGTTACGGTGCTTGAAAGAGAGTAGTAAGGAACAGGGAGGCAGACACAAGGTTCTACTGGCACAAGTGCTGTGGGCTGAGTCTGGAAATTTCTGGGCTGAATCTGGAAATTTCTGAGCTGCACTAGGGAAATGTCAAGGAAATACTTGGTTTCACAGAAACTGCTGCTTTCCAGTCAAGAAACCATTTTTATCAGAGAATTTCTAATCTGCTCTGATAAGAAGTGCTTAGGACCAGAGAATTACATGGCTCTGAAACTGGTTTTATGTCCTAGTTTGGTCTGGTTTTAGTGTTCCTCTTAAACCTGCTGCATTTGGTGGTAGCAGAACAAGCTTCAATGTTCCCCAGTCCCACATACTCCCCCAACATCCACCTCCTCAGCTTGGAGCTGTGTTGGCACAGCTGTGAATCCATGCAGTGATCCAGATTGCTGAATTATCTGGTTTTTAAATTGTCTCTTGTACTCTCTTTTCTGTTAGTTGTCTTTATTACAGCCCCAGCTGTGCCAGAAGGGGGAAGAGAAGGAGTTTGGGGACAAGGAATTGTGTAGGTCACTGCAACCACCCACCAAAACACATGTGGGATCACAGCTTGGGTGGAATAGGCTGGGTTTATTCCATGATGTCCATGTTGGGCACTCTGGCACCTGCCAGAGTGGCAAAGTGGTTGTTCTTGGTTAGAATCACTTTGAGATAAGGAAGTGAAATGTGGATTTTTTTTTTTTGGTTTTGCCCTGTTTGAGGTAAAGGTTTTTTTGCTGATGAGAAAACTCTCCACTGGTTGTGAGGAAGTGTTTGGGATGAGTGTGGGTTTTAGGCCATTGCAGCTCCTGTGCTGGCATGGAGAATCACTAAGCCGCCAGGACAGGCTGTGAATTCCCTCCCCAAGGATTTCAGGGCATGGATCATCCCCACTGTGGGTTCAGCTGGAGCAGAGTTGGGCTGGGTTTCTCCAACCCATCACTCCTGTGATGTCTCTGCCCTCTGATCTCCTCCAGCAAGTCATTGCCATTCCCTGAGGATGCTGCAGGATGGGGTAGTGGCATGGCCAAGCTGCTCAGATGGGAAGGGACACTTTCACTTCTGGTTGAGGCACTTTCACTTTCACCTTCTCACAGTCTGCGCAGAGACCAACAAGGACCTTCTGCTCCCGCAGACCAAACCTGGATGTGCCAAGGGTTTGTACACATTTGTGGGTGCATGTTCTTCCTTGGGGTGGGGATGGATCTGGAGGAGCTCCCTAGATCTGGAAGGGGAGCAGCAAACTGCTAGGCTTCATTCCATGATCTGAGATTCTTTCCTCTCACCTATGTGTGTATTTCTACAGTTATTTTCCCCCTTTTTTGGGCTTTCATTTTCATTCTGCAGCTGAATTTGTAGGAAGAAACAATCATGGGATGGCCTGAGGTGGGGAATGTCTTGAATTATCACTTGCAAAATTATTGGGTTTGTTGCCTTTCCAAGAGCTTCCCAAGCTTTTTCTTTTCCAAGCCTTTAGCTTTTACCCCTGGAAGGATCTGCTGTTCTCCAACACAATTGTGCTGCTCCAGCAAGAAGGGTTGTTAGGTGTAGTTCAAGCCTTTGAGCTGAGCTGGGACCTAATTCCCTGATCAGATTTCCATGGAGGAATACGAACTCCCTGACTGCTTCCTTGAGATCCACAGGATGTAAGGAAAAGACAAAAATTAGTTTAATCCACCCAGTTTTAACTGTTATTCTTCCCATTCCTTATATTAAATCCCTTTTTTTTATCCTTGAGTAATCTGAGAGGGATAACTAGTGATACAGGGAATGATTCTCTCTTTCCTCCTTTTTAATTGATGGGAGGAAAAGGCAAAAATTATTCCAACTTACCCTTTAAAAATAGGATTCCAACCCTTAGTTTGGGATTTGGAATCTTATTGCTCCTGAATAATAAAGCTTCTGTTTCTAAGGGCTGTTTTCTTTCAGATTTGGATTTTAACAGCTCCGAGAGCAGAAATCCTGTATGATTTTCCTTTGTTTCTATGTCCTTTCCAACTGCTTTGGGACCTCTTCTTGGTGGATTGGTGTTGGGAGGTGTTTTATGTTGGAAATGTCTGGAGAGACTTTGAGCTTGGAGAAAGCTCTGCCTGGAGAGGCTTGAATTAAGGAAGATTTGTGGCATCAAAAGCTACATTCCCTGAAGATCTGAAGGTCTTTATAATAACACAGCTAATCCCAAAATACTGGGCAGGCACCAGGATTTTCCTAGGCCTAAACATCACCTCTCACCCCCTAAAAAACCTGCAGTGAATCCAAGTGACTTCTCAGCCCAAGAGAAAACTCTGACCTGCTCAGCTTGAAGTTAATTTACCACCAGACTTTGCTTCTGGCAGTTGCTACTGATTTTTTTCCCCCTTTTTCTGTTGCAAAGGCAAAATTCCTAGGCAGACGGGGAGCTTGGAATCCTCCTGCCAAAGAACAATTTAACTTGCAAGGATTTGAGAGCTGTATGGCTCCCAGGGCAGAGATCTGATGAGGCAATGAGCCACAATCAAGTGCTTCCTTCCTCTGCTGAGGTCCCACTACACTGGTAGGAGATGCCCAAAGGTTCTGTGCCCTTTCTTCCTCCAGGATTTCCTCTGGAATCAGAAGAGCCGAGTTCCCTGTTGCAAACAGCAGTTGCAGTGCTGCAGAGCTCCTACTTGGACTCTACCTCTCAGGATGGTTTTCAGTACAGCCAAGCAATCCTGGTGGAGAACGATGTTTTCCTAAGTGAGGTAAGGCTGGTGCAAGAGCAGGATGGTGCTGGCAGCTTGGGAAAGGGTTTTTTGGGAGCTGCTGTTGGTTGGCAGGTCTGTCTGTCCCCTGCAGCACAGGCTGCCCTGGCTGCCCCACTGAGCTCTTTCCTTTCTTTCCCTTCCCTCCCCTCCCAGTCTGTTTAGGAACAAAAGGTCCATTGAGCCAATGGTGCCAAAGACTGTCTGGAGGAGGTTGAAGTCCCTTGCACACCTGTCTGGACAGTTCTAATGGGTTGCAATTCCTGAAAAAAACCTTTTGTTTGCCCTTTCACCTCTGCAGGCACCACTGTTAACCCCTTTCGTCCAGCTGACTGAGGTGTGTGCAGACCCACCTTGAAACTGCTTCATGCCCAGAGTCACTGACACGGGACGACTTCTCCAGACTGGAGATGATCAGTTTGGTTGTTGTCATGAATTTAATGGTGCTTAGGCGTTTTAGAATCATAGAATGCATTGGAAGGGACCTCAAAGCTCATCCCATTCCAACCCCCTGTCATGGGCAGGGACACTTCCCACCAGCCCAGGTTGCTCCAAGCCCCATCCAACCTGGCCTGGAACACTCCCAGGGATGGAGCAGCCACAGCTGCTCTGGGCAACCTGTGCCAGTGCCTCAGCACCTCCCAGACAGGAATTCCTTCCCAATATCCCATCTGGCCCTGCCCTCTGGCAGTGGGAAGCCATTCCCTGTGTCCTGTCCCTCCATCCCTTGTCCCAAGTCCCTCTCCAGCCTTTATGTACCAGCCTGGAGAAGACAAGGCTGCCTAAACCTGGGATAGTCACTGTGGAGCTGCATAAGAAACTGGCAGAGATTTGCCTGTGAGTTCCAAACACAAAATAAGTACAAACTGTGATTACATTGTTGTTTTCTTACCTTCTCACTTAGTTAAAATCCCAGCCTTGTCCAACTCCTTTTATTAAAGCACTGAAACATCATGGACTCAGCCCCAGCTCTGTTTGGTCTCACACTGTCTGCACTGATGTGTGGTCCAGCATACCCTGGCTGCTCCAGTGCCCCACACTGTCCATCCTGGAGGTATCTGGGATGTGCTGTCCCCACACCATGAGTCACTTGAGTGGTCTAGAACAAAGTGTTGTCCTGTCTTTTGCAGCTCAAAGCTTTTGCCCGAGCCAAGGAAGCTGCTGGGTACAGCCAGGAGGAGCTGGAGGAGACCTTTGCCTTTCTGCTGTTTGATAAAGAAGAGGAGGTAACCTCAAATGGTCATTCAGTTTCTTTTCAAGTGCCTGCAAGTGTGCTCTGTCCCACCAAAGCTCAGCAGAGCTGGTGACTGAAGGGTCCTGGATCTGTGCTGAATCACTGCTGGATAAATAGTCCAGAGCAAGTTCTGGGGGCAGCTCTGGGGAGGTTTTAGTGATGGATCTTATTCTGCACCTCTCCGGTCAGTTGTGCTTGATGGTAAAAGAGGATTCTCCTCTCTCTGTCTCTCTCCTTTTGAAGGCAAAAGAGGTGTGTCAGACAGGCCTTCGTGTGAACAGCAGTTCCATTTCCACTCTTGGTGACCCAGCAAAAGGTGAGATTCCCATCTGGAGGACCAAGAGACCTGGGAATATTGACTCATTATAAAAACAAAAGCAGAAGGCCAAACCGGTACTGCCTGTTTACTGCAAATATCCATGGAAAATCCTGTTTCTCACATGAAAAACTGCATTTGGCTCAAGCAAGCAGTAGTGTTGGCCTTCTGTCCCTTCCACCAGCTGAGGGTGGGATCTTCCCCAGGGAATCTCTTTACCTCTTCATTCCAGGCTTTTTCTGCCTTGGTGATAACAACCTTTGTCACCAAAGTGTCTGATTTTTTTGGGAGTATCTTAGTTCTGATGGATTAAGATGAATATCTCTTTGCAGCTCTTCCCTTGCCCAGTCCCTGTTCCCCTCATGGACTTCCCTATCCATCTTGTCTATAAGTCAGGAATGAAGGGCCAAAAAAAAAGGAAGAGTTAGAAAGAATTTCACCCTTTTTAGGGCCCAAGTGCTGCTCTGCTTTGCAGCATTTACTCTGCAGAGGAGGGTCCTCTCCACAGGGTTTTTTTTGGCAATCAGCTTTGCTGTGCAGATGATTTACATTATCTTTCATTGCTTTGTTTTTCCAGGGGTTTATATCTCCAAGTATGCAGACTGTCTTCATCCAAGACCCTGGTATCATGGAAAATCGGGCTACATTGTCATTTGTAAGCTGATTAAGGTAAAGTTCAAGGATTTTTATCTGGAATGGTTTGCAGAAGGCACCAAACAGTGCAAGCAGCTTTTAAGGAGACCTTGATGCCCATAACTGTGATGAGGGGTAAAATCAGGCCTCAGAGTGCCACATTTTCCTTGGATTCTGAGTGTTTTGCGAGGTTGAAGGGTGGCTCAGATTACAGTTTCTCCTTGGGGCTGTCATGTGGCTCCTCCACACCAACTCCTGCTCCTTCTAGCTCACTCCCAAACCATCCTGCTCCTGTTTTCCCTCCTGAGTTGTGCAGATCTGTCACTGACTCCTGCTCCTCATAGCTGACTCCAGACCCATCCTGCCCCTGTTTTCCCTGCTGAGCAGTGCAGATCTGTCTGTCATGCCAAACTTGGACAAGTCAAGCCTTCACATTTGGAAGGACACTCACACAACCCGCTCCCAGCTGTGAGGAGCACAATGCTGTCAGCACCACTCACTTCAGAGCCAAAGGAGGATTTAGGTGTCTGTTCATAGAAGTTTCTGTGAACAGTTATGTGCACTCATTGATTCTTGGTGAATTTCCTGGCCCAGGGGAAGGTCAAAGTGGTAGCTGAGAACTCCACCCCCTGCTATACCTGCCCATCTCCAGGCTACGACTGCCACGTCGCCGTGAGCGCAACCACTGGACCCTCCAAGGCCAACCCCTGCCAGGCCTTTGAGCAGAGCCAGGTACCTGCTACAGCACTGGGGGCTGCCCAGGGGGGCACAGTGTTGGCTCCCTCATCCCTCACCTTGTTTTGCTGTGTTTTTCTCTCTCCCCCAGTACTACGTTTATGAGGTGTGCGATGGCAGCACAGCCGAGCGGCCCAGGCAGATCTGTCCCTACATAGTCCTTGCCTGCCAGTACAGACAGCCCAAGGACATGCCTGTCTTGGCTCTGGAGAACCTGTAAGCAACTTGCTGTTGTTCCAAATTGCTTTTCTAGGCTGTTTTTCCTTTTCCCATTACTAACTATTCCTCTTTTTCTTCCTTTCTTCTAGGCCTGAGCATAATCACCGAGGTAGGAGCAGCTGCTGGTTGGGTTTTGGTTGACAATGGTTAGGTTTTTGGTTGATAAATGTGTTTTTCTGTGTTCTCCCTCCTCTCCTGCCTCTTCTGATCCATTCTCTCACCTGCAGCACTGTACTGTCCATGGAGAGGACAACTCTCCATTCAGGGGCAGCTGCTCTGCACCATTACCCTGAGGAATCCCTACAGCTCCACCATCCCAGCCCAGCTGTGAGTTGACCATTTCTCTTTTTTCTGTGCAATTGTTGGGGTGTCTGTGTACCAGTTTTGCCTCTACTTCCCCATACTTCGCAGCTGAACTGTTGGGACAACCATCAGTGGCAGAAGTGGTGCAATGTCACTGGATGAGGACATAGAATCACAGACTGGTTTGGGTTGGAGGTGACCTCAAAGATCATCCAGTTCCAACCCTCTATCGTGGGCAGGGACACCTTCCACTAGTCCAGGTTGCTCCTAGCCCCATCCAGCCTGGCCTGGAACACTTCCAGGATCCTGTGATTTGAGGATACTGGTTACAAACTGCACCTTCTCCAGAGCTGCTTTCCCTGGTTTCACAGGGACAGAGCAACCAGGACTCTGTGTGTGCTTAATCCTGAAAGCCTTTTCTCCTTGTGATGTCATTTCTGTATCCCCCCAGGCCTCCCAACCTGGACATCAACCATGTCATGGGTTTGTCTGACTTGAAGAAAAAGCTACCAGAAGCTGCATTTGGGAAAAGAAATTACACCCAGAATGAAGGTGAGTGGAAAAAAAAAATGAAGTTCAGCATGGACTAACACAGCCTTGTGCTGTGCCACAGGGAGACACATCAGGTCTGTGGAGCACTGGGTCCTGTGTTGATATAGGAGGGAAAATACCATGGAAGCTCAGGGATGTTTTCCTGTCCACATCTGGTGTCTCCTGGTGGGATATAATCCCAGCACAACCCTTATATCAGCCCATTCCTGGGCCAGGACAGAGATGTAATCCCAACCCTTTATTCAGCCCATTCCTGGGACAGGACTTTTAAATTGGAGCTTTATGAGCCTGGAAATCTTGCTAAATTCTTTGTATCCCAATTCTTCCACCAATTCCACTCCTTCCTCCTGGTCCAGGAGCACTTGTTTGTTCAGAGTTCATGCAAGAAGCAGCAACTCTCTCTCTCTCTCTCTCTTTGCAGTTTGCTTTCAGGGTGTTTATTCCAGTCTGTATGAGGTAGAAATCTCCAATAAGGATCAAGAGAAAATGGATCAGTTGGTAGAAAATCTAAAGGAAAAGGACTTGGTAAGTGTTTGTTTTTAAACAGTTATTTTGGGTGGAAGAGTGGCCTTTTATAAATGATCTCTTCAACCTGTTGGTAACATTATTCACAGTGAGTGCAGAGTGGAATGAATTTCCCTCATTTGAGTGTGATTTTCCTGCTTTGCTATGCTCAGACATCATTTATTCCTTCTGTATATCAACAGTTAACTGAAGGTTAACCTCTGTGAGCTGAGACCTGATTTCTGGGGGATTTTCCTTAGGAAATATTACCTGATTTCCAGCACATTTGAGTCTTTTTATTCCCAGTGTAATTATCACATCTCCTTGTGACTCCAAACCTCACCCTGTGGAGCAGAGCACCTGCATCTCCACTGGGATTGGTGGTTGGGTTGGGTTTGGGACAGATGGGATATTGGGAAGGAATTCCTGGCTGGGAGGTGCTGAGGCACTGGCACAGGTTGTCCAGAGCAGCTGTGGCTGCTCCATCCCTGGGAGTGTTCCAGGCCAGGTTGGATGGGGCTTGGAGCAGCCTGGGCTGGTGGGAGGTGTCCCTGCCCAGGGTAGGGGTGGAATGGGATAACCCTTAGTGTCCCTTCCAACCCAAACCATTCTATGATTCTCTCATAAGGGTGTAAAACTGGATTGATACATCAATCTTCTCTCAGTTGATCTTTGGGCCCAGAAGGAGGTGAGAGGGTGGCTGAGGCTGCTCCTCTGGGTGCTGACGTGTCTCCCAGTGACAGCACTGCCTTGACTTTCCTCCTCACTCCCTGAAACCTTCCTGTCAGTGAGAATCCACGGCTATTCCGTTGAGCTTCATCTATCCAGCAGAGTTCCTGGCTCTGATCCCTCCTGCTGTGCTGGCTTGAGGCAGCCAAAGCAAGGAGCTACTGTTCTGAACCAGGAATACTACCCTGGAATTGGTCAGCACTTCCAAAGTTGTGCTGGAAAAACAAGGCTGTGGGCATTAATACAACCCTCTGTAATGTCTGAGTGCATGGAATGGGACCAGTGAGACTTCACAGAGTATCCAGAGCTTGAGGGTTGTTCGGTTCCTCTGTTTCCTGAAAACGTGTGTGCATGGGAGGCAGAGATCCAAATGTGTGTCCCTCAGGAGGGAATGGCAATCCAGGCCAAACTCAGGCATCAAGGAGCAGCCAGACACAAGGAAAGCCTTGATAAGTGCGTGGATCTCTTGAGCCACGTGCTCCTCCAGCTCTGGGACAGAGTTCCAGGCCTCCCTTACACTCAGCAAATCTTACTTGACGTGTTCCTTGCTGCTGCTGCTGCTAAAATCCAGCTGCAGGGCCTGAATTCCTATCGAGGATGTGGCTGCAGTAGTTGGTTGCCATGCTCATGTCCAGCTTTGCTTTTCCCTGCCAGGAAAACCTTCCCCTTAGGTTGCAGAAAGCAACTCTTGGCAGAGATTCCCAGAAGGTTTCAGACTGAAGAGGCTGAAATGATTATCTTCATTAATTACAGCTAGTTTGGCTAAGGATGTTTATTTCTGAAGGAGTAGATGGGAGGAATTTCAGGGCCGAATCCCAACACAAATGGAGCAGTTTTGGTTGCAGAGCCACATCGTGGCATGAAGTGAGCAGTGTCCTTTTCAAGCAGGGAATGAGCTGGTGCTGTTGGCACACATTCAGCAGCACTCAGGGCTTGTTGCCAGTGGTGCAGAATGTGCTAAGGAGGAAAAGGAGTGGTTGCTTTTAACTCCTGATGTGTTTTCATTACAGGCAATCATCAAATATTTACAAGACCAAGGAGTCCTTATCCTCCTCACGTCCTCTGCCTTGGCACGAGAGGATGGTAAGTCCTGGCCACACAGAAGCCAAGGTCTGGGCTCAGACATCCTGCTGTGTTTTGGAGACAGGAGTGGGCACCTAACCAAAACCTTTCATGTTCTCTTGCAGGTTTTGACCCCAAGGAGCCTCTCAGCCTCTTGGCCCTGTTCCTGTTCACCTCACCACGGTCACTGTGCCCGAGAGGTAGGACCTTCCCTTTGCTGGCCTCACACACTGCTCTCCTCACCAGAAGGTCCTCACAGACCATGTTCTTGTTGAAAAGCTAATTTCCCTGCTCAGAACCAGCGACAGCTTTAGCACAAAGGGTGTGAAAGGGGAGAGAGAAACCTCAGCTCTGCAGCCACACTGCAGTCTAAGCTGATCTAAACCAGGTTCCTGCTCTGCTGGTTCACTGCATATCTTTCCCCTTGGAGGACATGGATGGGTGTGATAAATAATTACTTTTCTAGCCAGGTTTTAGCACTTGCTGAGGTTTTATGTGTGCTGAAGAGAGGCTGAGCCCTGCAGAGCTTGGCTTGCATCCCTGAAGCTGAGCTGGAGCTGTGCTCAGGGAGGTGAAACGACACGTGGCACTTGCTGGGCAGAGCTCAAAGGGAAAGTGAAGTGTTTTCTGCTGAGATAGCAAATGGACTCTGTGAAAGGTCACTGTGGGGAGGGGGAGGAGAGGTGGGGAAGGGGCTTTGCTCCCTAAAGAGCTGTGAGGACTTGGGGGTTCTGCTTTGGGAGCCATAAATGCTGGTGAGGAGCTGTGAGCACTGGGAGTGAGGAGAGGGAGATGGTGTTGGGCAGAGCTGAGGTGCTTTGCTGCCATCAAGGTGAGTCCTCTGGGACCTGAGAGGTGAATCCAGGCTGTTGGCAGCCCTAAATGTGCTGCTTTTCATGCAGCACAGAGACACTGAGTTTTTGAGTCATACCAGGGACAAGCCAAGAGGCTGTTGGTGCTGTCACACACTGGTGTCCTCCTCATGGCACAGGATGTGTCCAGCTCCCATCCCTGGAAGATAAAATCAGCAGAAGAGCTGACAGGACCCCCCAGGATGGTGCTGTGTGTTAGTCCTGCTGAGATGAGAAACAGGAATTGCTTCCAGTGGGATCAGACATTCAGCTTTGGAAACCCACCCAGGGGTTCATGTGCTGTGTTGATTCAGTCCCCAGGTGTGCTTGGGGTGGGTCTGTGTTCCCCACCCCATCCCAGAGCACTGCTGTGGTGTCTCCATGTGAAGTGCATCCCATGCTGACAGCAGGGAGGGATGGAGCTGCTGGAAGTTACAGCTGAACAGGGAGATAACACAAGTGATATGTAAATGGTGTTAGTCTCAACACCCTAGTTTAAACAGGCTTAACAAACCCCAGACTAACAACTCCCAAGATCTTCACACCTCTGACTGTCCTGAGTGTTGGATTTACTGAAGATTCCTGGAGTAAAGGGTCTTGGACCACTGTGTGTGTGTGTGATCCCACCCTGTAATTTCCTGCGGGATGAGGTTGATATGACATCAATTTTTCATCTTAGTTTAATTCAGTTTCTTAGTCGATTTGACTTTTTTGATTCCTCCATGTAATTCCTTGTTCCCTTCAGCAATTCCAAGCATCCACCAAACCAGGACATTGCCCCTGGGGCCAACATTTTGTGGATTTGTCATTGGTTTTGTGATCTCTTTGCATATGCAACAATTTGGGGGATTCAATCCTTTTTTGAAGGGAGTAGCATCCTTTCCTTTTCCTTTTGCAGCTGAAAAGCAGGAGCCAAAGGATGGAAAGGACAGGGACTGCAGAGACATCTCCTTAAAGATAGCCCCAGTTTTGCCTGGGCTTCACTATGCCTTCCAGAAAGCTTCCAGTTCTCCATGGAGTGACACAGTCAGGACCAGCACATGGATCAAACAGCACCTCCAGGAGTATGCAAAGCTTGAGGAGAACACTCAGCCCATCTCTGATGACCAAAAGAGTGACATGCCCTCTGCTCCTCTCTCACCAACTGAGGAGAAATGTCCAAACCTCTTCCAGAAGTTCTCAGAGCAATCCTTCTCCCAGCTCCAGCATTACCTCTCTGATCCCAGCAGCTACTCCATGGAAGTATCAGCTGCTTTGGAGTGTTTGGCTGGTGCTGTTCAGCCTCTTTGCAGCAATGTGGAGACTGATGGGAACATGGATTTCTCCTCAGCTGCGCCACCAGTGGCAATAAAACCCTGCAGTGAAAACCCAAATCCCACCCTGGAGCTGAACCAGAGTGGGAAAGGCCCCACAAAGGATGTCACCTCTCCCAACAAGTTCCCAGAGCAGAGCAGGAGGAAGTGCAGCCGAGTCCCTGTGGCCAGCAGCAAGAAGAAGGTGCCACCCCTCAAGATGCAAGCACATCCCACAGGAGATGGCAGCAGGGACAAGGAAACATCCCAGAAAGCCAACATGACTTTTTATTTCCCTAAAATAACAGGAGGCACAGCCAATGCCACAGAGCCCGTGGTCAAGTTAGCCCACGTGCAGTTCCCTCACAGGAGGAAAAGAGGTAAGTGCTGGGATTGACTTCTGCTTTTCCAGGGATGCTGGAGATTCACTAGGAGCCATGTCCAAGTGCCCAGAGCAAGGAGACACCTCCTGACTGCATCCAAACAAATCTGTCTTCACAGTCTCTTGAGCAACCTGGGAAGGAGCTCAGGGATGTGACAGGGAATGTCAGAGGAGGTGCCTGAAACTGGGTGTAGTGTCCCATGTTCCCTTCCTGCGTTTGCAGGTGACAAGGGACATCAGCTAGGTCATCCCTTGGCCTCAGGCTGTTGATGGCCCCGGTTAGGGGTGGTGGGTTGACCTTGGCTGGATGTCAGGTGCCCACCAAAGCCACTTACTGTCACTGCTGATGTCAGGTGTCCACCAAAGCCACTCTGTCACTCCCATCCCCAATTGGACAGGGCCGAAAAAACATGCCAAAAGGCTCATGAGTTGAGCTAAGGACAAGGAGAGATCCCTCATGGATTCTGGGCAAAACCTGCTTAACTTGGGGCAATGAATTGAGTGAGTTCATTGCTAATCCGATCAGAGCTGGATAATGAGAAGCAAACCAGATCTTAAAAACACCTTCCCTCACCTTTCCCTCCTTCCTGGGCTTAACTTTATTCCCAGTTCCTTTTCAACCTGAACATGTCTCAGTCCTCCCTCTTTGTTGTCGCAGGTGCAGAGGTCCTGGTTGCACAGTTTGTTCACAAAACAGAGTCTGGACCTGGTGAGAAAGAAACCTCAGCTCCCGATGGTCCCGATTTGGAAGCAAAGAGACCAAAGCTCCTGCAGAACCCAGACATGGAACAGATTCCTGTTGCTGAGAGTGTCATCAACCCAGAGGAGAGTGAGATGGTTAAAAGTGTGGCTACCACCCCAACCAAACCTCAAGCCACAAAACAGGAAGAAAGTGGTAAGGATACTGTTCCCTTGGGATAGCTTTCCTTTCAAAGCTGAGCAATGTAACAATCAGGTCATGACCAGAGGATGGTAGTGACAGACTAGGGGGAATGGCTTGAAATTGAAAGAGGAGAGATTTAGGTTGGATATTGGGAAGGAATTCCTGGCTGGGAAGGTGGTGAGGCACTGATACAGGTTATCCAGAGAGGTTGTGGCTGCTCCATCTCTGGAAGTGTTCCAGGCCAGGTTGGAAGGGGCTTGGAGCAGCCTGGGCTGGTGGGAGGTGTCCCTGCCCATGGCAGGGGGTGGCACTGGGTAGGCTTTAATGGTTGTATTGAAGTGGCCAAACCACCCTGTGCATGTGGCCAAAGAGGTTTTGTTTCTGAGAATCCTGAAGTTGCTTAGATTCCCAACTCTGGATCCTTTAGCCGTGACCTGCATGACCATGGAGATGTTGTTTAAATGTGCAAAATCCATGTTGCAGAGACTCTTTTTCCTGCCAGACTCAGAGCCTGCCTTGATCCCCTTCTCAAGGCAGAGCTGTGTGGCCTTTCTTGATCTTTGAACCTTGTTTCCCTTGTGCAGAGTTGGAGGAGCCATTGCTTGACATCTCAAGTGAAGTCTCTTCCCAACCCCAAGGAGCAGATAGCCAGAGGAGTGAGGTTCACCCAGGCAGAGTTGCTGACCTTGGGGTTGGTCTGAAGGGCAACAACTGTGATTCCCATGCCCTGAACTTGCTGGCTGACCTGGCTCTGGGCTCCTGTACCATTAACATTATCCCCAAAGACAGTGGGATGGTTGCTGTGTCCTGCAACTCCTCCAGCAATGTCACCCAGGAGCAGCAGAGTTATTCCCAACCCAGATCCTCATGTGCTGCTTCTGAGCCTAAACACCACAGGGCAGCCAAGCATGAATGGAGAACCACCTCAACCAGCAAAGCATCACAGACCCAGAAGCTTCCTGAAAAATCAGGATTAAACAATTTGGCCTCTAATCCCATGGAGAAAACCCCTGAAACTCCCAGCAAGAACAGTGTGAGCCCCAGCCCTGCCCAACAACATGTGTTGCCTCCTAAAGAGACCAAAGAAGCTGAGGTGACCAACATTGCCATCATCTCTGCTGAGCACTCGTATGCCTCAGTCATGACTGAGCAGCCAAAGAAACAGAGCTCCTCCAGAGGGGCAACACCATCCAGAAACAGTACCAGGAACACCCGGGGAAGACCTCTGGTTGGGAAAGTCCTACCTTTCCGCCACCAGCAGAGCAACTCCAACCTGCAGCAGCCCTCAAAGGCATTGGAGACGTGGCACAGGGGAAGCCTATGCTCCCCCAGGGTCAAGGAGGACTTCGCCAAGTCTCACACAGTGAACATCTCTGACACGTCCCTGAAGGTGACATGTCATTGGGAGGCAGAGTATCTCTTCCACTTGGACAGCAGGTACACCACCAATGCCATGGAGAAGACAGTTGTCCGTGCCCTGCATGGGTAAGTCATCCAGGAGAGCCTTGGGAAGGAGCTTCCTCGGCTCTGTTTGCTTTGCTTTGGATGATGTGGTGCTTGGCAATGTGGTTTCGTGGTGAGCATGGTGGTGTTGGTCAATGGTTGGACTTTTGGTGATCTTGGAGGTCTTTTCCAACCTTAGTGGTTCTTTGATAGTCCTGTTTTTCCTCATGTCCATCTGCACAGTTTGGCTGTGTCACAGCTGCTTTTTCCTGCAGTAAGGGAAGGGCTTGTGGGTAGTGGTGGGTGGCAAATTGGACATGACCTGGCAATGGGCACTTGCAGCCCAAAAACCTCCCAAGTGCTGGGGTCACCCCCAATGTGGCAGCAGTGAGGGGATTGTCCCCTCTGCCCTGCTCAGGTGAGATCCACCTGCAGTGCTGCTCCAGCTCTGGGCACCAACAGCAGGAGGATGTGGAGCTGCTGCAGAGTCCAGAGGAGGCCACAGAGATGCTCCAAGGGCTGGAGCAGCTCTGCCCTGGAGCCAGGCTGGGAGAGCTGGGGGTGTCCACCTGGAGAAGAGAAGCTCCAGGGAGACCTCAGAGCCCCTTGCAGTGCCTCAAGGGGCTCCAGGAGAGCTGAGAGGGACTTGGGACAAGGGATGGAGGGACAGGACACAGGGAATGGCTTCCCACTGCCAGAGGGCAGGGCCAGATGGGATATTGGGAAGGAATTCCTGTCTGGGAGGTGCTGAGGCACTGGCACAGGTTGTCCAGAGCAGCTGTGGCTGCTCCATCCCTGGGAGTGTTCCAGGCCAGGATGGATGGGGCTTGGAGCAGCCTGGGCCTAGCAAAGGATCTCCCTGGGTCTAGATTACCTTTAGAGAGGGCTCCCAACCCAAACCATTCCATGACTGGTTGCTGCAGCTAGAATTGGTCCCTGAAGCCATGACCCAAGTCCTTTGCTGCTCTGAGCTTCTCTGTTCGGTTTCCTTTTCCACCAAGCTGGAAACTGCATGGAGTGGTCTGTGGCTGCAGCTGAGCCTTTGCAGCTTCCCTGCTTTGGGGCTTAGCTCCAGGAGATGAATTCCCTTCTGCTGATCAGCTGGATGGAGGATGAAGGTGCTTCAGGCTATGTTTGCTTTCCTTTCCAGGCCCTGGGATCTTGCTCTGCATGATGATACGAAAGAGATACTGTTGATCTTTCACATGTGGGTGGCTCTGTTCTACAAAATGTCCAACAGGCACCTCAGAAGCATAAGGAAGGTGGTGGAGTACAGCAACCCCAAGAAGTATGTCTTAATCAACACCACTAGGCTGAGTGATGATGATGATGATGATGATGATAGTTGTGTGTTGTTGGAGACATGCCCTGCAGACTCTGGCACAGACCCTGACCAGACTCCCAGCAGCTCCCTGGATCACAGCACACCTTGCCAGGGACCTTCCCAGCCTGAGAAAAGCCCTGCAGACTCTCAGACTGATGCTGATGGGACTCCTGGTGCTGTGGATAGCACAGTGTCATCTTCTTCAGGGGAGCTGCCCTGTGGGGAGGAGGAGCCTTCCTCCACAAGCTGTCCTGAGAGCCTTCCCAACACTGACCATGCCAGTGGGATTCTGGCTGTGGAAGGCAGGAAGCTTGGGAGCATTCCTGAGGAGTGTGTGCATGGCATCTCGAGCATCACTGAGGTAAGAGCTTGGGGATTGGGTGATACATGTCAACAAGGCACATTTTTGCACTCACAGGAGGAGTTGGAGCTTCTGAGAGGAGAGGAGAAGAAGTGTTGGGGGGCTCTCCTGGAGCCAGCAGGGTCCCAAAAGCAGGACAGAGGAACATCTCCCAGCATTTAGGCTGCCGTACAGACACACACAGAGTCACCATAAAAGAAGCTTTCAGGCCTCAGTCCTGAGGGTTTGAGTGGCCTCTTGGAGTGAGGTGTCATCCTCAGGTGCTGGCATGAGCTGTATCTATCCCTGCCCAGGGGAGTAGGGCCTTGACATGGATGCTCTTCAAGGGATAGGAAACCCAAAGAACTCAAGCAGTTAAAGTGTTGAGCTCAGCATTTGTTCCTGGTTTCACCTCTGAGCTCAGACAAGATCTCAGTCCCTAACTGAGGGAATAGAGGAGCCACAAACACCCCAGAGCAGGACTCCAATCCCACCTCTCTCCTACACTGGAGCAACTGCATTGGGTCACAGCAGCCCAGCTGGGTCAGGGCACATGACACAGCATTTCCCCTGTGAGTCCTGGAGAGCTGAGTGAGGTTTGCTGGCTTGGAGACCTTTCTTCCCCCACCCAGGTGGCACTACAGTGCTTTCCTGCTTTCCACCATTTCCCTCTTCCCTCTGGTGAAATCAGTTAATATTCCGTCCTGGATAGAGTTTTTAAATGGATTTTTACAGGTCTGCAGATGGTCAGGAGGTATTTGGCTACCTATAAAACATAGGTGTCTGCTGACATTTTTCCAGCCTGGATTCTTGAGCTAAAAGGATTCCTTTAAAACTTGAAGCAGCAAACAGCTGCCATAGGGTTAAGGAAAAATTATCCCAGTGGTTTTTATTCCCTGTGTCCTCCTACACAGATGTCTCAGCTCTTGCATTTGCCTCCCGTGAGGAATAACCTCTTGAATTTGTGTTGTTTCAGGAGGAGCCACCCAAGGAGGAACTGCTGGATGCCACCACGACCCTCAGACCTTCTGGCCATGCCAGCGAGTCCCCGAGTGCTCTGGGCATGGAGAAATCCTGCAGTGCAGCTCCATGGGGAGACACCCCGTGCACACCACTGGGATGTGGAGAGCAGCAGGAGAGAGCGTGGGCAGCAGCAGGGGGTGGCTCGGGTCCTCCCAAGGACAGGGAGAGTGTGGGAGATGCTGGGCACTGCTTGGAGGTTGAGGACAGCAGCTGGGCCACCAGTGCTGAATGTGCCTGTGGGGCCATGCCCTTAGGAGCAGGTCCCAAAAGTAGAGCCAGTGGGGAAGGGATGGAATCACAGGATCCCTTTGGGCATCCAGAAACACAGGAGAGAGAGGAGGAGGAGGACAAAGAGGACTCTGAAGCTGAAAGCACATTCCTGGGACCTGTTGATTTAGTGTTAGCTGAAAGCAGCGACAGCGATATGGAATGTGATCCCAGAGAGAAGAATCCAGGGAATTCAGCATATTCTAAGGCCTTAGGTGCTCCTGGAGAGGCCCCTGTGCCCAGCCCCACCTCCCTAGCATCCTCCTGCCAGGGCAGATCAACACCAGTGCTATCAGATGGCACTGGGAATGGCCCTCGAGTGCTTCCTGGTGGGATAGCACTGAGCCTGGATGCACTTCCAGCTCCCTGGGAGACCTGGAGCTCCCTGGATGCAGAGAGACATGGTGTGGCACACACAGCCTGTCCAGTCCATGTGGGGTCACTGAGCATGCAGTCACTGTCTCATCCAAGCCTTGTCCATGGGGCACAGCCACACAGTGTCACAGGCAAGCTGGGAGCAGATGGAGAGACATTTGGGAATGGCTTGGAGCAGAAAGACAGGGATCATACACCCTCTGGAGAGAGGTGTGTGCCTGCTGGGAGCACAGCTGGCCTCGAGTCACCATGCAGCAAGGCACTGACACTCAACTTGTCCCCTGACTCCAGCTCTGTCTGCCTGACACCTCCTGATGGAGCTGTTGGTCCAGGGATTGTTCCAGAGGAGCAGGAGCCCATGGCAAGTATCCAGTCACCATCACGGAGCAACCTGGGAGGAGATGGTGTTTGTGCTGACCTCAGTTGGCTGGAATCAGTCCAAGGAACAAAGGAGGTTTTGGTGGAAGAACAGCCTAGCAGCCCTTCTGCCAACTGCACAGGTGTCCCAGATGAGTCCTCGGAAGCAGGTGATGGCCAGGACTTCACCTTTGACTACACAGCCCTAGGAGATGACACCACAGATGGGGAGAGTGATGACACGTGCCCCAGGGCAGGGAAGTCCTCCGAGTCCCTCCAAGCAAGGAGCCAGGAGAAGGAACCTGCCCTGCCTGAGGATTTGGGAGGAGGAAGCAGCATTCCTCTTGCCCCTGTTGTAACAGAGGAGATGCTCATGCCGTGGGATGAGCACAAAGCTGAGGGATCCAAGGCGTTTCCTCATCTACGTCGTGCCAGCGCAGAAGTGGGAGAGAGAGCGACCCCCACTACCTCCACCCCAGCATTGCCATTCCCTGTGCACAGAGAGCAATCTGGAGAGAGCCTGGAGTCTAGTGATGATGAGGGTATTTCAGACATGCTCCCAAGGGCAAAGCAGCTCCTCAGCGAAGACTCCCATGTGGGCTTGGCCTTCGAGGCTTCGTCGAGCGACTCGGACCAGCAGTATCATGGGAGGACTTCAAAATCCCTGTGTAAAGCCAGGGATTCCTACAGACCCATGGATGCTGCAGGCACAAGGACTAACTGTGGTGGCTCCTCCGTGAGCTTAGTGCACACAGAGGGGCACGTGGGCATGGAGAGAGGCTGCTCCTGGGCTGGGCACAGTTGGCCAGTGGGGGACAGCAGCAGTGGGCACATCCCACCTTTTGTTGATGTTTGGGATAGCCATGGGATCACAGAGGACTACCAGAGCTTAGTGGTCACCAAACAGTGCCAGGAGAGGACAGGAAGTTTGCAGCCTTCAGGGAGGCACAGCCACCACCATGCAGAACAGTCTCACTTGTTAAGGTCACTGGTGGAGCCTTGGAGGGACTTTGAGGAAATCACCCAACACAGTTTGGATATGGAGTGTCTCAGTTTCCATTGTAAGCTAAAACAAATCCTAAGGAGTGGGAAGCCACCCTTTTCTACCTCCAAAAGCATCTTCCCAAAAGACTTTTCTCCTCAGGTGATGTCTGAGGCCTCGGCCGTGCCTGAAGCTCTGTCCCCACGCAGCCGGAGCCCTTTGCGCGTGACCATCCCACCCTCGGACACGTGGCTCAGCTCTCCCTGGGACTGCCACAGGGACACCCTCTGTGACACGAGGAGGAGACCCAGACCCCGAACCAGGAGCCAGGAGCACGTGGCTCCCTTCCACCTCAGCAAGCTCAGATACCATGACCATCTGCAGGACCCGTGGGGGGATGCTGCCATCATCCTGGACGAGTACTCGGAGTTCCAGAGGGTGGTGCTGAGCAGGGCTGAGGTGCCCTGCTCAGTGAGTGAGGATGGAGAGCCAGTCCCAGTGCATCAGGAGGCTGTGGGTGAGCAGATGTGTCCCAGGAGGAGAGTGGCCTTTGAGGAGATGATTGCTGACCTGTGCAGTGCGCTGAGATGCCACCTGAGGAGCGTGGCCATGGAGGCCTGCAGCCAGCCTGGCATGTTCTACCTGGTGGAGACGGGCAAGGAGCCTTTCTTTGACACGGTGAAGGTACCAGCCAGTCCCACCAGCATGGCTGGGGATGGGTGGGGTGGATGGCCCTGGGCAGAGAGGTGAGGGGGGCAGGAGCAGGATGAGCTTGTGCAATATGACGTGAATGATTGGGTTCCCTTAAGCCAGGAGCCACCTCTGCCAGCTCACCTCAGCTCCCACCACCAGGGGTTAGGGCCAGAATCATAGAATCATCGAGGCTGAAAGAGACCTTCAAAGTCATCAAGTCCAACTGTTAAGCTGTCACTGCTGTAAGCCCTAAACCAGATCCTCCAGTGCCACATCCAGACACCTCTCAAACACCTCCAGGGATGGTGACTGCACCACCTCCCTGGGAAATTTCCTATCCCAGTGCCTGAACACCCTCACCTCTGCCGATTCATCCAGGTCCTACCACCAGAAATTAGGATCACAGAATCATTTAGGTTGGACAAGACCCTTAAGACAGAGTCATCATAGAATTCCAGACTGGTTTGTTTTGGAAGCACCTTAAAGCTCATCTCACCCCACCCCCTGCCATGGGCAGGGACACCTCCCACCCGCCCAGGCCGGTCCAAGCCCCATC